ATTTTAAATCCTCTGTCTTACAACTGGTTTGGGTTTATTTTAATGCAGCATTTCCAGCTAGTTATATAGGAGCGTTTTCTCTCCTTCTTAGAATGTAAACTTTCTCATAAATGTCTGTCTCCCATGGCACTAATTTGGTAAAATGCTGTTGTAAGTTTCATTTTGTCTCCAACTGTGCAAATGACTGCCAAGGAACAATTAGGAGTTGTATCCTGAGCTCAGTGGAACATTAAATGCTGTAGTTTAGTAGTCACTTTGCACAAATCTCTGCTAATCTACATAAGTAATATATGCACAGGCTTCCAGGAACTGCACACATTTGCCATTTCGAGCGTAGGCTAAATACTCACCAGTGCTGTATTTTTAGCACCTCACGTTTTACCAAAAAGGCAGCATAAAGGTTATCAGGTTCCTCCCAAAGTCAAAAAAAAAAAGCGGGTATGGGAAAATGCCACTGGTAATGTTTATCCAGAATGTAAAACATGGTATCAAAATAAGTCATATTTTTCTTGGATTCTGACCAAAAGAGAGCTGTCAACAAAAGAAAAGTATATAGGGTTAGAAGGGAGGAAGGCTATGGAAAAAAAATTTAGAGGCCCTTTTGTTTTCCTTTTCCTGTGAGAAAGAGTCATCTTAGGCATGTTTGTAAGTCATGTGAGCTACTGGAAACTACCAGACCTTCACCTCACAAAACACATATCCCATTTTAAAATACCAGTGATAAGAATTTTAAGAAAAACCCTTGTGCCTAATCTATACCTTCAGGCTTGCTTTGAATGTGAATTTGGAGATGCGTTGAACAACAGCTCTTTTAGAGATTTAGAAATGCAAAATCTGCTTTTGCTGAAGCTCCCTCTATGACAACAAATAAGAATCCTTTCATTTTCACTGCATTGTTCTCTTTCCTTCAGAAAAATTCTGTGAATTGGATATTATTTTCCCAGTTGTCTAGATAAGGAGATGGAAGCAGAGACTGAGAGGCAAATTATATATAGTCACTGCATAAGTGCAGAGGATTAATGAAAGAGACCTCTGCTGACTGTTGTGCCCAGCAAAGAGAGGATAATATTGCTATAAGGTGTCATTGAAAGATTCCCACCGATAGATGTGAGAAAAGAACTGGTCAGTGCAATGGGCCTACACTCTGTGTTTGGAGTCCAGGAATGCTTGTTCTCATCCCATATATGTTTTTCTAGATAAATTGCCCATAAAATTCTCAACCTAATAGTCCCTCTTATTTCCTGTAAAAAGCCCAGCACATGCAACCTTAGTAAAACAGATTTTGGCTGTATTTTAGAACAGTCAGGCAATAGACAGAAAAATATGATCAGGTACCAAAAAAGTGGTGAGCTGGCATGGCCTTTTTGGAATTATGTTGTGTAATGTCCAAGATTTTGGAAGCAACTTCTCCACAGTAACTTAGAGAAAGAGTCTCACTCTGTGTCTCTTATTTGCCTCCAGCTGTGTACAACTATTCCCCAAGACCAGCTTTATAAAGAAGAAAGTGGTATTTGCCTTTCAGACTGGATAGACCTTAGCTGGTGCACAGTTTGAGCAGTTCTCCCATTGAAAATGCCCTTTCTGAGTTTGCAAATAAATTGCTTTAAAATGCACTTGGAGGAGTGCATTTTATAATCATTTTCTAGAACTTTCCACTGTGAAAACATTATGAAACTCATTCAGTTCATTCTTTCTACCATCTTCAAGTTGAAAGTTTTGTTTGCTAGTTTTCTCTCCCAACCTGAGTGCTGCAATAAGTTTAAATCTTCTTGTCAAATTGCTTAAATGAGTAGTCTCATGGATTTGTGTATGTGTGTGAGTGTGTGCCTCAGGGTACAAAAGGACTGCAGTCTTACAGCACTAGTTGCCTCCATGGGAGACTTCAACTGATTTGTGCCACTGGTCTTGTAATCACAGGGAAAACTCGGTTTATGATGAATCTTGCACTGTGGGTGTTGATCCTGAGCATCATTAGTTCACATTGGCTTGTGGGGATGTTCAAGACCTGTCAAAACTCAGGTCAGCGGCAGATGTTGGAAGAAATTGTATTCCAGTCACAGAGTACTGTGTCTCTTCTTCTGTATTTAAGCAATCAGTGCGGAATACTGCCTTAGATTCCAGTTTATGAAACCACTTTGGCACACATGAAGCCTTGCTGTCTTGAATTAATCCTGTCTGTATGTCCACATACACCAGAATGTGTGTATGACAGTTTTGGAAGGCTTCCTTCAAGGTGTACTTTGTTGTTTTCATTGATCCCACATACCTGAACTCTGCTTTGTAAGTGCAAGGCAGTTCAGGTACAAGTAGAAGGACTGGGCTCCAAGACTACTACAAAAGACATGAAGGACAGGTGAATGCTAAACAAATAAATAATGAAGTAAAATAAAATTAAATACCTGATTCTTCAACATGTGCTTTCAGTTGTTCCTGGTATGAGCAAGGAAAAATCAAACAATCAAATAGATAAAAAGGAATCTGCATTGTTGGACATAATTTAAATCAGTGTCAGGAAACATCACCGAATTTTTATTCCAATTAATATCTTCAAAGGCAGCAGATAAATGGCATTTTCGGGCATTTTCATTTGTTTGCTGAACTACAAAAAAAATGTATCATCTGTTACTCTAAGTATCTGTGCTATTAAGGGTTTGATCTTGAAAAGGGCAAATCTGCTTCACCTGACCAGAGCTAGTTTAAGTGTGGTTAGAATGGAAAATTACTTTTTCAATAGGCTAATCACAAGGGCAAAACTTAGATAGTATGTCACAGACAGCGATGTCTTAAATTCAGCTGAGACAACTGGGAAAAATGAATTGCCCAATGTGAAATTCTAGTTTTGATTATTTAGATAAAAACTTTCTGCTGGTCATGATTTTATTTTCTAATTTTTTTCATGTTTTTAACAGGTTGCCACACGTTGTTTTTCTTTTAATTTTAGTTATTTTTTTGTTAGGATTTTTGTTAGTTTCATTTTCTTTTTCTTCTTTTGATAAGCTAAGACAACACTTGGCACTCATTTTGATTTCAGACTTGTTTTAGACCATTGTACAACTTCATCAGATTTCTGGCAAAATCAGGTCCCTTTTTATGTTTCATTAAAAGCTACTCTCAAAGGATTAGTTTCTCTTTTCTCCTTCCCTCCCACCCCTCAGGATGAAGAGCGATTGTCCAACAGTACATTAGCTATCTTTATTTTCATTATCATGCTATTTTTATTTAATTCAGTTGCAGATATATTGATACAGCAGGTGCACAGGATGGCTAGTGATCTGCCTTACAATTGTATGGATACGCAAAAACTTTGTCTTGGCATATGCTGTGTTTCTGCAGTCCAGCTGAAATGTGTACTTCACAGTGAAGCTGAACCGTTTCTTTGCAACAGGCTTTATTAATCCTAGTCTTTTGATTGCCAGTACGCTTGAGTTTGCTCAGGCACCACCAAGATCCTTCCTAGTTGTGAATGTGTCAGTATGGTGGTATGTGTCTTTCAGGCTACATATTTTTCATACTTTGGGGAATGAGTTTCAGAATACCAGTGGAACCAAGGGGGGTGAAATGATAATGTGTTTCAGAGCAACAGTGCAAAGCTAAAAAGTAGGGGAGAGACCCAAAGTTTTTCTCCTCTTTCGTGTAGCAGACAAGATGAAGCAATGGCTTTGGCTAAGCATGACAATGAAGATACATTCATTGAAGCACAACTCCAGCAGACTTTGGCTGACCTGGATGAAGATTTAGAAGGTAGGAAAGTTACCTCTTAAGTACAAAAGAGAGAGAAATAACCAGTAGATGCAGAATAATCAGTTGTACTCTGACATGTCCTCCGCATTTCTCACTAAGATCACTGGGAACAACTCACAGGTCTGTGGCAGAATGTGGTCCACCCAAAGTGGTTGCTCTTCCTTTGCTTCAGGAGCAGCCACCTTTTATAGGCTTGCACTGAATATTTTTCAAATTGCATATCCGATCATCATTCTATTTCAGTGTCTGCTACCAAAAAGAGATGAACAGTAGTTAATGGACACATATTATAGGCCAAATTTGGTATAATTTCCCTGACTTAAGTGAAGCTAAACCAGTTGCGAATTTAGCTCTGTGTTTAATGAACAATGGCTCTGTTTTGTATTTTATCATAGTGAAGTGGAAAAAGGATGGGACCTTTTTGTAGCCAACACCTCCTCTGTGTTAACAGGCATATTTAAAAGTTAAAAATGGGAAAACATGAATCAGTGGGAAGAGAGAGAATGTCATATTGTGCTCCTCTTTTTCCTACTGTGGATTAAAAATACTTCTCTATTATTGATTTGTCAAAAAATGGCATTAAATAGTTTTTTAAAATTTCCTAGCTTTATTTTAATACTTCTGCAGTGGACTAGATTCTGATTTGATTTCTTGCGAGTTCTCTAACGTGGCAATTCCTTAGCTTCTGTTTTGTAACCTTTGATTTATGCCAGTGAATTTGAAAGGATATTTAAACTTCTTGCACAATGAGGCTTCTGGAGTCACTGGTAATAAAGGGTGAGAAGAATGAAGAAAAAATAAAAGTACTGTTTCTTTTTTTGCTTGTTCAAGGAAATCCTTCAGCTGGGCTGTTATTACTAACCAGATCTGGGAAACATAATTTGGAGTTGCTTGCTGTTTCTCAGAAATATTTCTCCTTCGGAGTCATGCAGTGAAACTTTTATCACTGAGATAAGTTAGTCAAAGATAAGGTATGAACAATAGATGAAATTCTGCTTTCAGCTGTATTTGTATGTTTCCCACTGGCTGAAGCAGGAGGACTGCAGGAATATTTGGCTGATCATAATCAGCAACCAGACAATAAGAAGGACCCAGACCTCTCTTTTTTTTGTAATAAAAGCACAAAAATACTCCTGTTACTTTTACTATAACTAAAATATCTGGTCTGCTTAAGCTTGTGCTATCTGTTTGTGTGATTTAAAGTCATATTGCTTAAATACTGCCAATATGTAATTTTGTATGTGTATTTCGCAGCGGTGGACGGTATGAGTAACTCTGACTCTGACTACATCAATGAAGCATCGAACCCACATATAAGAAAAGTTGAGGCTGCCCAAGATGTTTCCATTTCTGTTCCAGTAACAGTCATAGACGATGCTCCAGAAGTTAGCACCTCTAACTCAGATGAAAATCAAGAGATGGAGATGAGGGTTCCACAAAATATCTCAATCGACTCTGTTAATACAGGAAACTTGACAAATAAAAACAACAATGCAAGTTCCTTTGATAAGGGACACACAGATGGTGGAGCTATATGCGCATCGAAGGACCTAATACATCAGCAACCATCTGAAAATGAATTCAGTCATTTGCCTGTGGAACAGCGGAGAGATATGTTTGAATCTCTCACATCCTCCTTTGAAAAAAGAAGTGAAAAGAACTTAAGACTGGAACCCCTTCCCAAACATGGTGTGAAGTCTGAGGAATGTAAATCTAAGCTGAGTCCCTCTCACTCCAAGACCACAGCTGAAATCAATACAGCAAAAGAGAAGCTAAATCCATATAATGAATATAGTAGCAGGGAAAGATCTCTGAAAAAAAGTAAATCAGAATTAGAAATCAAATGGCCACCAGCAAAAAAAGTGGAAGTAGAAGAAGTCCCATCAGCACCTACATGGTGTCATCGTGCCCAGAATTCAGGATCGAACTATGAACCTAAAATGGGTTTGACAACCTTTAAAGTTGTCCCTCCTAGACCTGAAGTAAGACATTTTGATAGAGGAGTTTCACTCTCCACTGGTGCCATTAAGATAGATGAACTAGGCAACCTTATAAGCCCAAACACTGGTGTTAGTAAACACATACCAGGTTCTTCTTCTGATGAAAGTGAGGAAATTCATATTGGGAAAGTGAAGGCATTCTGGAGGTCAAGTTCTATGGAAAAGCAAAGTGATGACTCTGCTGAGCATTTTTCTAAAAAGTCAGCAGTCACCACGAGCTCTAAGCCCTTTACTGTAAAACATGAACACAAACCTGTCTGTCTTGCAGCTCCAAAACTTGTAGCACCACAAATTGTTACTACCCAGGTAGCCGAAAGACAGTCTGAGAATGAAAGGACCAAACTACCTCTTCCAGTTACACAGTCTCAGGTAACACCATTAGCAACCCCAACCATTAATAAGGAAAAGCTGGAACTTCCATTTGTAAAGCCACATAGGAGAACTTCCAGTCAGTATGTTGCCTCTGCCATTGCAAGACACATCAATGCAACTACCTTTAAGTCTGACTCTGTGGAGTATCATGAGAAAGATGAAAACAAGCAAGGGGCAGGAGAGGTTAAGACTGAAGCAGAAGTTTCACCAAAAAAATGTATTATTGTGGCCAAATATAGCCCTGTGGAAACAGAGTCAGCAGAAACAAGAGAAACACTTTCAAGTGTTTTTACTTGCAGTCAGAAAGCATCCCACAGGTTTACACCTGGTGATAATTCTGGCTTGGAAAACAAAGTAGTTAGTATCAGGGCACCAAATCAAGCAACTCCTCTGAGTTTCTATAAAAAGAATGGCAGTGTCCCACTTACTAAATCCTCCTCAAAGGATAACAACATTGCAGAAGAGGATCGTGGTTTAAACAGCAAACAAAGTATAGCAGAGAAAAAGACACGTCTCACGTTTGACCAGAAATGTGAGACTTTGATCCTTACTAATTCAGCCTCATCTCTTAAGTCTCCTGACCTCCAAGGAGTCCCATCCTCTTTCAGCTCATCTTTGCGAGTCGCTAAATGGCCTCCTGCTAATGGTGTTCAAGTTAATTCGTTTAAAGCGTCATCTGAGTTAAACGGTGCACCAGCAAATGCAGAGTCAGAACAGGAGGAGAAACCTGATGATTCAGATATTAATGCTGTCAGTGAAGTGGATATTAATGTGCAGACCAATATCTTTGGACCAAAGAAGAAGTTCAAACCTGTCATCCAGAAACCAGTTCCAAAAGACACATCACTGCACAGTGCCCTAATGGAAGCAATTCAAACAGGAGGGGGAAAGGAGAAACTCAGAAAGGTAAAGTGGAAACATTTTTTAGCCTGTTCAGACTGCAGAGCCCTGTATTCACCCTGTCAGACACCAGAGGTTTTATAACTGGTACAGTTGCTGGTGAGCTGGAGAACACAAGGCATTTGAAAAATTTATAATGGCAAAATACAGACCAAGCTGCTGCTTATTCTGCATATCCTGCATATTATGCAACACCACGGCTACTGCACTAGCTAGAAGAGGCAGAGGGTGCATAGACACAGCATAAACGAGAGGTAATTGAGGTTAGTCTAAGAACTGAACCCTCATTTCAGTATGTTATGTAAAAACAGGAACACACAATGTGGAGAAACCTGTGAATAACTATAATGAAAGAAAACTGCATTTTGTATTACTAGGGCATAATAATTGTTTGCCACTGACTTCATGCTTAGGGGATATGAGACTGCATCTCTAAGTACAGCATTACTATCTACACATATCCTCACTGTTCAGTGTGAGTAAGGGTTTTAAAAGCAGGCCCAAAAAAAGACAGACTGATTAGTCTTCATAGTTTGCATTCTGGTACAAATGCCAAAAAGTGTTTCCAAGCTATCTCTAAGTAAATATCTAATAACAATGTGAGGTTTATTCCTTTCATATTCTAGGTTTCAAACAGTGCACTAAATGGCAATCACAGGAAATCCTCATATGCTGAGCCAGAGAATGCGCGCTCAGCCCTGCTAGCAGCAATTAGAGGCCACAGTGGCACCTCAAAGCTGAAAAAGGTAAGAAATCAAGACGGTAAGTGATCTTTAAAGTGCAGTCTGTTCCTACTGGGTGTTTTAAATACACCCAGATATGCCACAAACTAAACATCATGCTGCAAAGGGAGAAGTTGAGGGGGAAACTATATGACAGAAGACCAGATCTGACTTAGGCAGAGAGTATCGCAAGTCCAATTCTATCCTCTGCTATAAAACTTAAACTCTTTCAAATGGTGTGCTTTTAACTTAGAAAGGACATAGAAATCCAAACCAATTACAGGGAGTGTACATAGAAGACATCAAATGTTCCTCATTTTCTCATTTAGGTGGCATTGTAGAATTGTACATTTAGAATTGTAGAATGGTTTGGGTTGGAAAGGACCTTAAACACCTCTCGCTAGATCTCGTTGCTCAATGCGCCATCCAACCTGCCCTTGAACACTGCCAAGGATGGGACATCCACAACTTCTCTGAATAGAGAAGTTGTACTTTAGGAGTATGCAGTTAGATTAATATATTTGCATTACCTACCATATACATCCAGTCCCAGTTACCTGAAAACACACTAGAGCTTCTTCATGCCGTTTATCTGCTAACATGGTGCATGCAAGTAGCGTGCAAGTAATTGATTTTGGTGTTCCATCAACATTCACTACAGCAGGATGATTCCTTCTCTCTGATTTACCTAATCACTAAAGCATCTCTTATTCCTGATAGCCAAAACCTATACTGTTCTAGGCTTAGTTTTCACTCAGTTGACTAATCCAGCCAAAGATGTGTATTGGCAAGGAGGTTCCCATTTCCCTCATGCAATGACTCAGTTCATTAGCACATATTCAGATAGCTGGCATTAGACAGAAAATGTCTCTTCCTGTGTTAGGGAATTACTTCATCCCTAAATATCTTTCTGCACTTGCTGCAGGTAGGGTACAGCTTACTCTGAGCCTGTGAGCAGGATGTGCTAGCCAGCAACAATCTGCACATATACTGAACTGCATTCTGCATTCATTGGGCATAAATGTAAATTTGTGTAAAAGAGGGTCTGACAATTAAGTGATAGTGTGTCATCACAGAGACTTCTTGGCAGAGAAGCTTTTGCCATAATTTTAGAGAAAGATGCCTAGAAACGATGCACTTCCTTTTCACTGTGTCACCTGTGCTAGTTAAATGACCATGTTTGTATGTGTACAGGGCACGATGCAGACGTGCTATGATGAAAGGGCTGTCCTTTTTATGTTATCTCAAATGTTCGTCTTTTATCTAATATGATGTTATACTTATATATCTATATTGTTTGTGTGCAGTGAGGGAATAGAATACAGGAGGTTTCTGTGGATTATTTGATGGGAGATGAATCCTTTAATTTTTCACCACAGAAGTTCTATGTCTCAATTTCTCTGAGAATTCTAATAGATCTGCTTAGAAACTTCCTATGTGGCCCATGATACTGAATTTCCTAGTTATTGCCAGATAATTGTAATTACTAACAATTTATCACGATTGTTACTAGTAATGGTGTTAATGGCAAAAGTATCTCTTGAGACAGTTGATGGAAAAGCTGGCTTAGTCTGCAAGATTGCCTTTTTCATGTGCATGCACTTGAAGCAGGATGAGTTTCCAAGCTGTTAACTTGTGCAGAGATTTTAGTTTCAGAAATTCCACAGAAATACACTTGGAAGAAGAATCAATTGATTTTGTTCTCAGTGCTTTCACATAGTTCTCTCTGGTCCTTTTTTTTTTCTTTTTCAAGTGTGGCTGGAAACTTTGGGTTTAATGGCATTTTTTTCAATGAAGCTATGTCTGAGAACTCAGTTCTGGAAGAGCATCCCTGTCATCTGAGATTATTTCTGTGCAGCCTAGACTGCAAAAAAGTAATTAGATTCATGGGTGGCTATTGCAGCTTTAATATACTCCCTGATTCCAAAACCGTTGTGGTTGTTTTTAAATTAATACCGAGTCCAACTTTCTCTCTTACCTTACATGCCAAGAAGAGTTACAGGATGCTGGATCTCACAGTAAATAGATTGAGTTTCTGAGACAGACTCAATGCCAAAATCTCGATGCTAGTAATCAGCCCAGCTGAGTGATGTGAGTGAGTAGTAACAGATGTTTGACCCCATGAGCAAACAAAGGTTCTATGTGTTTTGCATCATTCAAGCAAAATGAAAGTGCATCAACTGTCAAATAATTACAGTTTAGCCATGCTTGATATTAATCACCTTCTTTCAACTGCCTCGTGAGCAGATCTCCTCTTTGGCCTCTGAAGAGCTGCAGCGTTTTAGGGACGCAGAACTATCCTTGCAGAAGGCAGAAGACCTTCAGGAAGAGCAGCTTTGTATCCCACCTGCCCCTGCCCAGCCGCCACCACCACCTCCCATTCAGCTGTCAGCAGCAGCTCCTAAATCCTCTGCCACAGTTACAGGTAACCCATTGGAGGCAAGGCAAGCTCTAATGGAGGCCATTCGCTCTGGTGCTGCAGCAGCAAAGTTAAGAAAGGTAAATGTACTTTTATATTTTACTGTGGATGAAACAACGTATGCTAGCTGTGTTTTCAGAGACATTTTTAAGCTGTTCTAGATGCGCATTTCTTTCTTCCAGCAGGAGAAGGTACATGTACTGTTTTCTCTAGCTGAATCAAAGATAGGAATGTATTTGAAACCTTTGGACAGCTAATGAAACACACCTATGCATATATGCAACAATTTGAATAGTTAATACTTTTTATTAAAAGAGACAATCAGGAGCATGTGTATAATTTCAGAAAGTATTTTCATTGCCTTTTCATTCTTGTATATCTGAGATAATGCTGTATGTCCTTTAGACAAGGTGAACTTAAGAAAGATCAGATATGAGACCCTGAAGCAAATTTATAAATAAGTACTCTCTCCTAATTTCAGTAGTGTGTCCTAGACATTGATTCCCAACACTTACACCTTGGTCACATGTGCTTAGAGCTGTCAGTAAAACTGGGAGGTCAATTTAATGCCTACCTGAACTTTATTAATTGAATGGCATGTGTTTCACTTCTGTGATCAGCTGTGAATCAGTCATCTCCCAGATGGCTAAATGCTCAGTTGCCTGTGTGTGATTTTTGGATAAATTCACTAACCTCTTTGATCAAAGTTTTTTCTTCCTAATCTCAAGTTACACTGCATTTTTTGGTGAAGAGAAGCAGCTCGATTGGCCTTAGTGGAAGCATCCCAATGTTACACTGCAGTATCCAAGAATGGACTTTGATCCAGGGATTTTAGGGAGTGTACAAAAGTAGATGTAGTTTTCCCAACACATGATTTAGCTGATGCCAGCCATAAATGTGTAAACATTGCATACTTGTCTTCTTTTGGATAATGAAAAAATATGCTCAAATTTTAACATTTGAAAGTAGCCAAAAAAATATGATTTCTCATAAGCCAGAAATTCCACAGAATCATACAAATGGCACAAACAAATTAGTGTTTCAGGGAAATTTTCATCAGCGTGTTCTGATTACATCAGAAATCTGGATGTGCTGTTATTTTTCATGTGAAAAATAAGTATGTTAAGCATAAGATTATGAGTAGCATCTGAGTTTACGTGGTTTGTTCAGCTTGGAGAACGCTAAGGGGCAAACTCATTGCAGTCAATGTCTTCCTCAAGGAGGGCAGCTGAGGGGCAGGTGGCTGATAATCCTCTCTGTGGTGACCAGTGATAGGACATGAGGAAATGCAACTGTGTCAGGGGAAGTTCAGATGACAATAGGAAAAGATTCTTCACTGAGAGAGTGGTTGGTCATCTGAACAGGCTCCCCATGGAAGTGGTCACAGCACCAAATCTGTCAGATCTCGAGGAGCATCTGGATGATGCTCTTAGTCATATGGCTTAGTTTTAGGCAGTCCTGTGAGGAGCAGGGTGCTGGATTCAATGATCTTTATGGGTTCCTTCCAACTTGAGATACTCTATGATTCTAAGAGTACAAATTTTGAAGAAATCAGACCTTTATTTCCCTACTTTACCAACTGACAGAAAAAAATAGGATTTGGACATTCAAGGATACATGATGCAGTTATTTTCTTGATCCTTCCAAATTTCTTGTTCTTCCAATTGCATTGCTCTTGCGGAAGTCTCTGAGGCAATCAGTAGCTCTTCTCACGAAACCGAGTCTTTACCATTTCTTTGTGGATTTATTTCAAAACACTTGGATAACCAGTGCAGGCCATGAAAATACGCCAGATATTCTCATGTATTCTGCTAAATACTGTGCCTGTCTTGTTTCATTTCCAAGACAGAGTAATTTTTTGGAGTTTTGACATTGAAACAACAGAAGAGTATGTGGCATTATGTAGGTCTTTTATGAAAATAAAAGAGAGAGCAGTGTTTTGTCCAAGACAGAGTGTTATTTTCTTACTACTGTGCTGTTCTTTCAGATGCTGGATATGGAAACTAGCCTTGTATACACAAAAGTCATCTTGACACTTTGACATCTGAGATCTCATGTCCTTGATAAGATTTTGGTTGCAGCAATTAAACAGCAGAGTAGCTAGTTCAGTTCAGTAATGGCGTCTGTTTCTCTTCCATTGTCTTCTCAAAGCTTTCTGGGACAAGGGCTTCTGACAGCAAGGTCATTTATTTGGGTAATGTTGTGGAGAACTGGGAAGAATCTGTATTCCTTAGTTATGTGTGACTTAGTGCTTATTTTTGAAGGAATATTTGCAATGGAAGCAGATCAAACAGGACTGTCAGTGGAACCAAATGTAAAAGGCAAGCAAGTGCCTAGATAAGGAGCATCCCAACAAACATTTGAGCTCTAGTAATATCTGTGAAAAGCCAACTCCTCCACTCCTCCCCTGATTACACAGCTATTTGCTAAAGTCATGAACTTTAAGGTTAAAAGATCCACTATGCAGGAAGGGAGGAGAGAAGTTGCTGGAGGCTGACCTTGCCTTGCTGAGAGTCAGGGTCTGCACGGCACAGTCTCTAAGTGGGTCAGCCAAAACAAACTAGAGCAGAAATAGGTGCTTGAGGAAAATACTAAGTATAGGTAAGACAGTACGTGCTTAAGTCTCCTGGCTCTTCTTTAAACCATTTCTTGGAGTACTGTGCCTACTTTGGCAAATAAATCACCCTTTGTTTTGAAGAAACGACTTCTGTTTTATTGCACACTCTTGCTGTCCACACTCTTGCTGTCCCCAGTTGGGCCTGCTCAGTAAAATGGTTCATCCACAGTGCAGAGCAGTTCAGAGACCTGCTAGAAAGTGGTTACACTACAGATCCTACCTAAAGGGAGCGGAGACACAGGCATTTCACAGAAACAGGATGAACTTATTTACCCAACTGGAAAAGACCTGACAAAGTGCAGGAAGTAACCTTTTTCTTCATTTTTTGAAATGGTCTGTCAAGGAACCTGACAGTTGTTCAACACATCCAAAGTATAACAGCAAGTTAGGGAGGTGGTATCAAGCAAAGCCACCAACCGTGATGACTGCCCCAGTGCCTTTGGTGGTTAATTGTCTTGAGAAATGAACGTAACTCACTGGCGAGGAGCCTGCTTCCCAGCCACGCAGTCTGCCTCATGTGCAAAGGAGAATCAGTTGATCTAGGAAATAAATAGCTGATTTGAGACCAGATTTTGGCTAATTCTGGTGGGCAAAACTGAGGTCATAGAGCTGTACCATTTGTAGCTTCTGATGTTAAAAGTGAAGTAGTGTTTTCCTTCAGTTGTGTCAAACAGAATCATATAGTGAAGATCTGTATGTCCAGTTTTTAACTTTCTATTTCCCATCTCAGAAAATGCAAAATAACCTAGCTAGATTTCTGAAGTTCTGTATATCAATGCATGTGTATTTTTGGTTTTGTGTAACTTGCCTTTAGGATTTACTATGATTATCTGTGGAAAAAAACATAACTACACATGCAAATAACCTGTTAGATGTCTAGCTGTAGGTATAGTTGCAGCACAAGTCCATGCAGGATTAAAAATCTTACCAAAGAAGAGAAGCTATAAAAGTTCCTTTAGATTATATGCCGTCCATTCATTTTAGGTAGAGTTGTACCCGGGGATTTGGTAGAAATACTACAGGGGAATGTGCCTGCAAATGGTGGGGAAGGTAAGTTATATCTCTGAAGAACAGGCTCACAATAAAATGATTTCTGTAGACCACTTAATGGTATGTGCAAGGGAGATTCTGCAGATTCCATATATCTTCTAACAAAGAGTTGCACCAAAGCAGCCCTTTCTGTTTGCTCACTGAGATTTTAAAAATTAATTTGGCTCCATCAAAGTATCCACAAGCATTCATGCCAATGTTTGGCATAGGCATTAGGTCATGTGAACTCTTGATACGTGCAGTGTATCATTCTGTTGGCAATCAAAGGAGCCAGGTAAGATAATTACTGCACCATTACAATGAGTCCATGGTGTACACTGGGATAATTTGGAGTTGGTTATCAACAATTAACACATTGATCTGAATTATGGCACATTGAGTGTCTTCTAGGAAGCATGGCCTAGTTCTATACCTTTATGTAAAGCAGTGGACTGTTCTCACATAAGCAGAGATATATAATTGTGAATGAACAAATACTGTTTCGTACCATTAGTATCTGTGGGTGCAATGACAGGATTACAGAATCAAAGCCACAGTTAATGTTGGCTTTGGTAGGCTGGAAATGGGGCAGGAGCCCCCACGTTAAGGTTGGCCAAGCTTGATATACAGGTAGTCAAATGAGCCTATGAAGCGATTCTAGTTCCCATGCACAATGAGAGGCAGGCATTTGCATGCTGTTTGAATTGAAAGATAAAACTTGAAAATAATTTGAACTCTTCACCTTCCTAATAATTTATATCACAACCTATTTTTTTCCTCAAGAATAAAGTTTCTGCCATGGATACTAAGGCCAAAATGGTAAATTTAGGCTTGATCAAATACATGATTCCTGTTTAGTTTTTGCGCTGACCTTAATGTATATCTCTATGATAGAATCAAAGCTTAGTAACTTTGAATTTGGAAGAGCACCTTAGCATATGAATTTAAAATTAAGCATATGCTTAGATGACCTGAGGACTGGGAAGGAAGATAAACATTTGTTTAAGTATTTTCCTGAATCAAAGCCATTGGGAGTTTCCTTCATTTAATCAGGAAGCAAAGTATTCATCAATTGATTTTTATGGCCAGTGACAGCTAGCTGACACAGAATAGATTTTGACTGTCAGATGTTGCATACTTATAGCCTGGGTTTCTGTTCATTCCACAATGAAGGACTTTCAGAGAAAAATACATCATCTGTGTTCCAGAAATCCTGTAATTACAACCTAAATAGCTGCAACATACGTAAGTATATATGAGTTGTGGGGTTTTTAGAGAAGGATAGCACCTTTCATTAAAACAACTGATACAGCTAGAAAACAACAGATAAGCTTTAAGTAGTCCCAAGGAGCAGATGAAGAGACCAAGCTTGAAAGCAGCCTCACAGGAGAATGTTTGGTTAACAATATCAACAGTTGGAGGTTTAAAAATATCTTGAATGATCATGTGCTTTTCTTTGTTATAGGTCCCTCTGCTTGTTTAAATCGTATAAAAAGAACAGATAATTGGAAAATCTAACCCCGTATGCATCCATAATCATCGTTCAAGCTCTGAAGTGGCAAAAAACATCAAGAAGTTTAGTATATTCTCGTCTACAAGCCAAAATAAGCTGTAGTTAATTTTCTGTGTGTTCCTGCATAATGGTTCTAAGGGGGAAATATGTTGCTCTACTGTAAAGCTTCTGTGCCAAGGAATTGTGTTTTGCCTCTGAATATTTAAAGTTGCCAATAAACCATTCTTGTTGGCAGGTTAATAAGAATATAAACACTGTGCAGTCCTGTGTTAATACTTAATTGTATTTATGGGCAAAATTAAAAACTTTACCAGCTATCTGAAAAGTAATATTCATTTTAAGTTGTTAAAAATATTTCAAACTATTTCAAACTATTTACTTGCTTCTTATTTGATTTCAAAAAGGACTGTAAATGGTTGGAGTGAAAATCAGAATAAAGGTCTATAAAAAACAATCACAAGAAAAAAGTTATGGTACCTAAGTTGTCATATGCTGGAGTCACTGGTTTTTAAAATTAAATTAACTTTGTATCTCTGGTGGAGCTCTGAGAAAGCAGGCAATTAATAATGAATGTGAGACAGTGTCTACTGCAAAGTTACTTATGGGATATGACGTATAGAATGCTAATGTGCAGAGATATGCTGAACCCTAGTAACGTTCATGGCACTTCAGAAATATTGAGCCACCTTAAAGGATCTCTATTTGCAACAGACTGTGAAGGTTTTAAATAAGATTCAGAGTCCTGCTTAGAGGTCCAAGATGTAGAATTCATTCCTGCGCTGCAAAATGAAGTGAAGCTGGTTTATATCAGTAACCAGGACTTTTGTGGACTCTTGTTCAGGTCGTGCATAAGTTGGCCCTTTATTTCTAATTTGTATGGCTGTTGTATGTTGTCTCACAAGTATTTATAGCAGCATCTTTTTCAAATGTTAACTACTTTGGTAGTTGTTGTACATATTTTGAAAATATTTCGTTAAATTGATTAACTTAAAAAGGACAAATGAAAATGCTTTTTCACATTTCCTATATTGTAATGACACTGAAGAAGAGGAAGTTTGTACATTTACATTTTTATAATCATAGACTAGAGTGCTGGCAGATTCTTTTTTTTTTTTTTGAGCTGGAATTTAAAATGTATAGTTATGGACTGTTGAAAGCACAAGAATATTTAGCCATCTGCAGTTAATGTGACTATATATTATATATTATTATATATTGTAAAATATTGATATCTGTTAGTGCCACAAATAAAAACAAAATCAAAACCTGACATGGCTTGAAATGGTCTTTTTGCCAAATATTTTCCATTTACAGAAAGAAATTAGAACTAGAGATGGACTTAAGCAAACCAGTATGCTGTGCTTGATATCTCAAGTCTAATATAAAATGTCTCAAGCCAGGAAAGAGCTCACAACTAACAACCTAGTAATGCAGTAGAAATCACCAACTAGAATCAACATGTCACTTAATATACATTTCAATAATGATGCAGTGCTGATAATGCTCCATTTCCTCATTAGGAAAGCTAATATATTCAGAATTAAGGTGCTCTGTCTCACCGTAGGATAAATAAGATAACCTTTGTTGATTGTGATTAGCCTTCTTTTGCCTTAAAAGTCTTCTCAGCGTGCTGAAGATCAGAAATACTAGCATTGAAAATGTTATCACAGAAAACGATTTAGTCATTCGTAAGTTTGAATGCTGCAGATAGTCCCACTAGCAGGAAATAGAGCTTCCTTTGTTAGGTGTTGCAAGACAAAATTCAGTGCAGGTCTCCTTCTTGTTCTTAGTGTTGCCTGAAAGCCCTGGATGTGTAGCCTCTCCTTACTAGCACCCTTTTAGTGTAATATGCTATATGAGTACTTACTTTTCAGTGTAAGGGATTCAAAACTAGATTGTTAGATGATAGTATCCTCTGGGCTTCACAGTGCAAAGGTTCTAGTTCTGGATGCTGGCACTGCACAGAACTAAAGTTTCTAAGTGTTATTCCTGGGTAAACTTCTGAGTATTTAATTCTCATGGATAAAACACCATAAAAACAAGATAAGATGTCATCTTCACTGTGACAGCAAAAAAATAATTACAAAAAATCCTGATGTCTCAGTCACACCTCAAACTAGAAATTGAGGGGGAGTTCGACTGTCTACAGTAGGAAATCTAGGCTGGCTGTTCATTCCCTTCTCATATTGATGGGAGTTGTGCCTGCTTTTACGTTATCATCTAGGTGCTGTTGAATTCTTGGTAACAGCTCAGTTTAACCCGAAGTGAATACAGATCTTATTATAAACTCATTTATAATGAAACCTAGTTACAGGTATGACTCTTCCATATAGTTACTTTCTATTAAAGCTTTTAGTAGTAATAACGTTTAACTCGTCCTAAGTTAGAAGGAAAGCCCTGAAATATCTCTGTTAAAGACAATGTGTCTTAAGCACCAAGTATTTTCATCTATATGGCTGCTCTTACTGCCCCACACTGTTTGCTATTGCAGACACAGCCTGTGTCTAGGGGTACACATGCTGCCGAGGTTAGTCCCTGACATATCCCATAAAGGCACCTGTAGCTGCACAGTCTGCAGGCTGCTTTTGCTCCTGAAGGACTGAAAGGACAGCGAGCCCCCCTTTTCCTTAGTGTATCTCTCAGCCCAGATTGTCCCCACATGCTCTCACCTCAGTTCAACCAGAGGAAAGAGTCTGATGCATGCCTGATTCATCCAACCCTTTATATTATCTTTTTTAGTAAGAGACTAAAAGGAGGTGAAAAAATGGTATCACCAGGGAAACTGAATGGAGAATTTGGATTTTGTATCTTTATTTCTTCTACAGATATAAATCAATGTTCAGAGCTTAGAGAAGTCCAGTCTAATGTCTCAAATAAAAATTTGTATGTCTCCCCTCCCTTTTTTTTACTTGTTTTTATTTACATTTTTTTAAAACTTTAGTTTGGAGTATTACTCAACCATTAAGCCAGCATTAAATCTCTCTGATTAGATTAAATTTTAATTTTAAATAATATTGGTTGTCTGCATGAGCTATTTGATTTACAGGCCACCATTATAGATTCTTTTTTCTTGTAGAAACAGACTTCTGATGCTAGTCATGCAAAGTGTTGGACCTGAAGACCTTGACATGCACATCAATCTAGAGTTTAAGACATGGCAGAGTCCAACTTCCCCGACTCATACAAGTGATTTGCACAATTTGTACTACAGCCAAAATAATTAACACTTCATCAGTACTAAAAGGAAGAGAACAAGAGATGCATTTATGAAACAATGGAAAATGCCACCCTGGGATAGCTTTCCCTCTAACCTCTTCAGAAAAGAAAGAAGCAGTTTTGTTGTTGGGTGCTGCTTAACATTAAGCACAAGGTTTATTTTGAATCCAAAGATCTGCACAAATCTTGATTTGAATCAGTTTGTCTGAATGAAATGTTTATAAATTGTTTCTTTGTTGGTGCAGTATGAAAAATAGTTGGCTTCTGCAACCGTTAATTAACAACTTTTACATATTTAGAGTATTTATTTGTGTGTATTGTTTCTCTACTCATCTCTAATCCTCTGCTGAGTTACATATGCATTGTGTTTTGCTTCTGAGACTTCTGTTAAGATTTATTAGACTATTCCCATTCTTACTCCATTTGTTGCTGCTGACCACACACAATAAAATATGCCATGTCCCTGCTATAGCTTTAGCTGCCATAATGATTGCATTCCCCTGCTTGCAGAAAATGACCTTTGCAATGATGATTGAGTTCCTTTTTTAAACATAAAATGAAACAAAGAAATTCCTGATTTTTCAGTAGTGTTCACCTGGATTTGGTGCATCACTGTTCGCATCTGCTTTTCTTTTTTGTTGCTGAGTAGGGCAGGGTGTTTGATTCATTGCTGATGTCTTCATTTGGCTGGAGAAAGTTTCTATGTGTGGAACTACCCATTCCCAGGGTGGTTCATCAAAGTATGCTAAGATGGGTGAACCTTTCTACGAGCAAAAAAAAAAGTACATTTTTTTTTGTTACTGTTACTAAATATTATTAAGTATTTGTTAAATAAATATAATTTGCTTAAGTACTAATAGGTTACACTATGCTGTACCAGATATAAAAGTCCCTCTCTCCTGTATTTGTCTACCAACTTGAGGATTTTATTTGTTCTTTTTAAAACAGTTTTCTGATTTATTGCAATATTGAAGAGTTCAAAAAGAGAGAGAAAATAGACCTACTTAACAGGAATATTGTGTTTTTCACACTTAAGGATTTTAGGAACAAGCTCGCTTCCATAGTCTGTTCCCTCCCATCACTCATTCCATATGTACAGGAGCACGCACAAACAGAGGGAGTCTCCTTCATCGTTTCAGAAGGTCGGGAATCGTTTAAAAAGCATCTCTACCATGGGATCCTTTTCCATTTTTAACAGTAGCTTTTTTTGTCCTGTAAAATAGGAACTTTCAGAAAGTCAGGGACTAAGTTTTGATGCAGTCAGAACAGCTATACGCAGTCACTTTTGGAAGCAATGTCAAATCCAGTTCCAGATAATGCTATCTTCAGCTAATTTCCTTTTTTTTTTCTTCTTTACTTTTTTGTCTGTGGACTGATAAAAACACGTACATGCCATGTCTCTTTTCTGAGGTCATTATTGTGCTTGAAGCCCTAAAAGGTTTTCCCCTGAACAAAGCATAGTGGTGTTGCAGTTGAACACCAGACTGAAAGAAGACATTATTCATAAACAAACACCATTGTGCAGTTTGCAAGTCAGGAGTTAAAAAAGGAAACCTTATTGAAAGAACAAGACTGTGGAACATCATTGTCTTCTACATCGGAACCTGTGTTTACTGCAATAGAAACAAAGCAAGCACAGTGCAAATAGGCATGGGTTTCCTTTGTCTTGTTTCATGTGTTCAACAGAGGGGTTTCTGTCAGAAACTCTGGCATTTGCCCCTTGTAGTGCTTGGCACGGGTGAGTGGGTCACAACTTGAGGGTTCTGATTTGGGCGGCAATGGCATCACTGATGGGTTGTGTCACTGGTTTGGGTTTGTTTTTTTTTTCCTTGTGATAAGCCAAAATGTGGTTTGATTTATCCAGTACTCAAGATGGCAAACCAAGTGCTTCTGCTGAAGCAATAAGCAAAGGCTCCACAGGTGGACAGCAGTTGAGATGGAGAATGATTCATGATCCAGTGTTTGCCAACTACAGTACCCAGATCCCAGCAGCCAGTAATGATAATGCCAAAGGGAGAGGAAGTGGATGCATCTGCTTTCTGACAGAACCTAAGAATAAGCAACCCAAAGAGCTGCAACGCTCCCTGCCACAGCAACATATAACAGTGCAAACAACGTACAGGAGGGGCCTCAGTAAGCAGTAGGTCACCAAAACTACCGTTAGATCTGAATTTTGGAAGTTATCAATGAGATACTGAGGCTGAACATAACAGGATGATACATCTACCTGGTGAGTTAGTTAACATGTTCAAGACAAGACTCAGCTATCCCCACTGTAGAGCCTTTGCTGATAAAACCCAGCCCCCAGTCCTTCAGTCAGCCCAGGTGGTGGCTGTACCTGGCACATCCCCTAACCAACCAGAACCAAACACAGTAGTGGTTTGTCTGACTGCGTGATGCATATCCCCTCATTCATTAGCCTCCCAGCTAATGTTCCAGACTTCCCAATTTATGGAAGGAACTCTCAGAGGCAATTTTCAGACAGCCAGTGCTGCAGAACTGCAAAGAGTTATATTTTTATGTGTTGATGAATAATTTAGCAACAATTCTGTGTTATGTAAAATTACTGCATTACTGCTACTGGGGCCAGCGTTTGTACATAGTGTGCTTCTAAGCCCAGTTATACAAGTTAAAGCTTGCTAGTTTTATCCTATGCATCTGTCATTAGAGACAATTTTTCCAGGTTCAAACTGGGAATCAGAGCAGGTCTTTCATTCCAGGAGAGGGCAGTTCCACATCCTCATTCTCCTTTATAGTCCTGATAATCCTAACTATTTCCAAATAGTCACACTACATTGTGTATTAGTGCTGGTTTTCTCCACAGAGGAGGATGCTGTGTAATATTTTTCCATATAAACGCCATGGAAATCTTCCATCCTCATAGACATTTACTTTATATTAAGGAGCAAGCTAAGATATGTTTTCATGCAGAGTGGCCACAAGTTTCATCCCCCTACCCTGTGGGGGCATGGAACACAGAATATGGGCAGATGTAGATATATCTGGTTTTGTTTTCAAGTTGGAAATTTTTCCTTTGAGATTCTGCCTATTCTA